ATCTAATTTAAAGTTGCAAATAAAACTTATAAAAGTTAAGCAAACAAAAAACTTATGATGAAAGCAGTTTCATCTGCGACTCGATCTGAAAATCCATCTTCCGTTCCTGGTTTTGCGTGACAACGTCGCGCAGCTACTTATTTTATAAAAAGGTTACATTTACACAAACGGCTATCTATATAATAAAAAGGTAATATAATAATGAAAAAACGGGAGATAACTGGTGACATGCAAATTTCTCTAAGATGGAGTGCCGAGTAACCTATTTGCAGCATTAGATGTGTGGCATAAACAAAATTCTTGCACGTCTTGAATGTGTGCCAGGCTTATGGCGCAGATTTCCTAAAGTACGAATTAGATTTCAAGATCAGGTGGAACTTAACACGATCTACAGCAGAGACTGTTAATGTTGCATATATATTAAAACTGGTGAGAGATTATATTCATCACAATTGAATCCAACATAAATAATTTAACTTGTGATTGATCACAGGCGAAAGGGATTCAATTTGGATTGGGCACTGTCTTTGATGTAAACACCATCAAGAAAATTCAAAACTTATTTCTCAAAAATCAGCAGAAGTAATTATCTTTATTGCTCTAAAAAAAGTTTTTGTTGAGCAATTTTACTGTATAAACTACTCCTTTCTAATTCCTAAACTTGACCCTAACCTTAGCATAGACAAGCTTTAAAGAATTTCTGTAAAATTCTTTAAAACTCATTGCTATAAAGACTAACATTTGTATTTAAAGTTAGAATTAACAAGATGGTGAATCATTTGGAAAATTTTTTTATTAGGTAAATTCTTGACAATATAAATAACTTTGACAAAACGAACGCTTGCTTTGAATCTTTCTATCATGTCATATCATGTCATATATGATCCTAAAAATTTATTTGTCCTTCGTGGATCTGCGCCACCATACATCACATGCTCAATAATGCACAACCTATATATTTACTAAATGCGCAGCTATCTTATTAGGAAATGATTTTCGGCAATTATACGCAATAAAGTCTCACAATTTGCAAATTACGATAAATTCTTTATGGTGCGCAGCTTACCATATATGTGATTTCTGTACATTTACGTTACGTGAAAGACTTGCAAAAAAAAAATATAAATCTATGAAAATATAATCTTTATTATTAAAAATTTTTTAAAAAAATGCTATTAAAACTAAAAAATGACAAAATTAAACCTAATTGATTTTAATAATTTCCTTAAAGGAAGTCATATCAAATTCATTCCCAATTCTTTAGAAAATTTTAAAATTGATTTCACATTTCTATCGAATAATAGTAACAAAGTTTTCTTAATAAAATATAATAAAATTGTGATCCAACGTAAGATTACTTTTTCTCAAACATATTCATTAAATGGTTTTATCAATGAAGTAAGTTTTAATTTACTTTTTAATAAATGTTTTGAAATATATGTTAATAAGTTGACTTTATATTATTTAGTTAAAACAATATCAAAAAGTAGAATTACATGAAAGTATTTTAAAAGTTATAGGCATTTTTGAGCAGAGTGTAGATGAAATTACCTTCTTTCGTGAATATGCATATGATGGAACTCTTCGTCAATATTTAGAACAAAATTTTTGCATTATTGATTGGAATGATAGATTACATCTTGCAAAACAGCTCGTTAGTGCTGTAAAATGCTTGCATGAAAATGACATTATTCATATGAACTTGGTATATATATTTTAAATTTTATTTATTTCATAAACTATTAATATAAATTAGAGAAATTCTATTTTGACCCGGGTCAGGATGACCCAACTGGATATTTTCATATTATCTGATACAGACTGTTACGAAGTCTATAATAATTTGTGTTATGCAATACAAATTCCCTTTGTCGGGTTAGTTTGACCTGGGTCAAAATAAAATTTCCTTATAAATTATGATACTAATTTATTATATTTAATTATTAGAACTCAGAAAACATATTTGTTCATAAAGGAGATATTAAAATTAACATCTTTAAATACCAAAATAAATGTTTAGACGAATCCAAATTCACTCCATACATAGATCCACAATATTTACAAAGTTCTAAAACATATAATCTTAATAAAAGCTCAGATATATACAGCATTGGAGTTCTTATTTGGGAAATTTCAAGTCGTACTATTCCATTTAGATCAGAATTTTCGAATGTTTCTAGTCTATTAAAAGCAATAATAATTGACAGAAAACGTGAAACTGCTGTCCTCGGAACGCCTAAAGCATATGAAAAAATTTACACAAGTAAGTTTTTAAATAAATACCATTGCTAATGCTGAAATTGACTGATCTGATATTGAGCTTTAAACCTATTTAAATATTAATTTTTTGGAAAGAGGTATCTTTTTGATTTTTTGGGTGGAAGCTAGATTTTGAAAGTTATATAAGCAAATATACATATGTACATATGTAAAGATTAGTAGGGCCTATATTAACTCCCAAATTTAATATAATTTCTGTCAATTTCTGTCAATTTTTAGCGTTAGACACAACAATTAATAATAGTAGAAAATATATTTAAAGACTTTTTTTTATTTATTTTTAGAATGTTGGCAGCACGAATCACTTCAACGTCCAACTATTCAAGAAGTTTTTAAGACTTTAAACAGTATAAATTTTGATGACATATGTAAAGAAGAAAATGAGATAAAATACGGCATGAATAGAAAGTATATGTCAGATAAATTGATGCATTATATTGACTGGCGAAATGAAACAGTTAAAGAATTAAAATTGATCTCATCAATTATTACATCTTTTAAGAAAACAACTTCCTTATCAATTATTGAAACTCTTAAAGAAGAAAATGGAAATTGTCAAGGGAGCATACTAGATATAACTTCTTTACCTGCTTTTAATTTAAGGTTAAAACATGTTCATGGTGAATTAAGATTTCTTTATGGTTTAAATCGATTATTTTTATCTCAATTTGATAAACAAGGAATCTCAGAAACTACTACATGTTCAATAATTTGTCAGATAGAAAGATATATAAGTAATCATGATACAAAACCAAATTTAATTCTCAAGCAATATTGTAATCATAAATATAAACATTATTTTACAAGCATTATTGGATTTTTTTATGAATACGGAATTGGAACGGATGTTAATCACTATATGGCATATGATATGTATAGTAAAGCGATTAAAGATATTTGTGTTACTAGCTCTTCAAATGATCAAGATAATTTGTCTAACAATTTATTAAAAGAAAATCAACGTATCGGATTAATATCTCTAGGTTTATTATACAAATATGGAAGAGGAATTGAAGTTAATCAACTCAAAGCATTTAGATTATTTTTAAAATCAATTTCTAAGGGTTCTTTATTAGGAATGTGTTATGTTGGAGATTGTTATGATGATGGTCATGGTGTTATTCAAAATAAGGCTTGTTCATTTGAATGGTATTTAGAATCTGCTAAAAAAGGAAATGCAAAAGCGCAATCTATAGTTGGTTATTGTTATCAATATGGTGAAGGTATTCATGAAAACCATGAATTAGCTTTTGAATGGTATACAAAATCTGCAGAGAGTGGAAATACTTTAGGTCTAGTTCATCTTGCAGAATGTCATTTAAGTGGTATAGGAACTTCTATAAATAAGCAAAATGCTTTCAAATATTATTTGGAATCAGCCAATGCAGGAAGTGATTTAGGCAAAACAAATCTTGCTTTTTGTTACCAAAAAGGTGTAGGAACACCTAAAAATGATAAAAAGGCTCAAAAATTATTGAACTTGCCTAATACTTGACATTTTTTTTTGCGTATCAATATAAACATTTTAATGTTTTACACAAATAAATCCTATGCAAATTCTACAATTTGTGAAATAAAATTACAAAGAATTTTAATATAGTAAATTTTTAACATATTAATAACTAATGATAATATAGTGCCTAGATGGATTGAATTGATTGTTAATACGTTAAAATAAGCAATTATTGCAGATACAGTAAGATAATACTGTAATACACAAACATCCTCGTCAAAAAAAGTCAACAGGAATACCTTTCGGACAACATTACAAAAATTTATTAGATTTTAGTGCAATACAGCATAAAACAGGAAGATACTAATAATAATTATAAAACAGGTGAAAAGATAAAAAATAGATGACCAAGTTTTATAAGCGAAAGTTTTATTCTAAATAGTTATTTCATTTGATTTCATTTCACGGCCTTGAAAAAAGATATTCATGAGATTTGTGTTTGTAAACAATTTTAAGTCTAATTTGATTCGTAGATATATAGATGTTCTTTTAAATTTGATTTGTATTATGGTTGAATCTGGGTAGTGAGTTGCTATTTTACAACTTAGAAAGAACCTTTTTTAAAATACAAAGAATAAGTATATACATAAATTTTCGATATGAGCAGTCTTTAACTATAATTTTTTATTATTCACACTACAACTGAAATTTAAATGTTTGCAATATATATAAAAAATTTACTCATCATAAGAATGATCTAACCCTAATATAATCGAGGCATTATTTCTATAAAAAACCCTTCCTAATGTTTTGTATTCTTCATAACTAAGTTGATTTTCATAAATTATTAAATCAATTAAAGTAGTGTTATTACGTAGAGCATGTGCTAATATTTCTAACCCTTTATAACCAAGTTTATTACTACTAATGTTCAAATAAATTAATTTAGTATTTTTACCAAGAGCTTCTGCTAATACTTGTCCTTCCTTAAAAGTAAGGCCATTATTTGAAAGATCTAGATTAGTTAAAGTGGCGTTTTTGCAAAGGGCATCTGCTAATGCTTTTACATCATCGAAACTAAGTTGAATACCACAAAGACCTAAGGAAGTCAAACTAGAATTTTTATAAAGAGCTTCCGATAATGCTTTTACTCCATCAAAAGTAATTCGATTACGATTTAGACTCAATGAAGTTAAAACCTCATTTCTATTAAGAGCTTCTGCTAATGCTTCTACTTCTCCTGAATAAAAATAATTTTCATCAAGAATCAAGGAGGTCAAAGTGGTGTTTTTGCAAAGAGCTTTTACTATTGCCTTACTTCCCTCAGGACCAAGTTGATTATTACTAATATTTAAAGAAGTTAAAGTGAAGTTTTTACAAAGAGCTTCAGCCATTGCTTTTCCTCCTTCAATTCCGAGTTGATTTTTATAAATCTGCAAAGAAGTTAAGGAGAAATGTTTGCAAAAAACCTCGGCTATAATTTTTGCACCCTCTGAACCAATATTATTATCTCCAATATCTAGAAAAGTTAGACTAGTGTTTTTGTAAAGAGCCTCCGTTATATATTTTAATCCCCTAAAACCAAGACGATTACAATAAAGTTTCAAAGAAGAGAGCGTAGTGTTTTTGCAAAGAATTTCTGCTAATACTTTCCCTCCTCGAAAGCCAAGCCTATTATCACCAATATTTAAGGAGGTCAGAGTAGTGTTTCTGCAAAAAACTTTTGCAAACAATTTCACTCCTTCATAACCAAGATTATTATTAGAAAGATTTAAGGAAGACAATGTTGTATTCTCATAAAGGGCTTCTGCCAGTATTTTCATTTCTTTAGGACCAAGGCCACAATAAGAAAGTTTTAGTGAGACCAGGTAAGCAGTTTTGCAAAGAACAGCTGCTAATGATTCTACTTCCTCAACAAAAAGTCCGATACGAGAAATATCCAAGGATGTAATAGAAGTGTTTTTATAAAGAATTTCTATTAATGACTTTGCAATTTGATCTAAGTTTATATTAATAAATCTATTAATATTTAAAGATTTAATATTCGGATTTGTTTGTAGTACCATTGTTATTATAGAATATTCAATTGGGTGAATCAAATACAAAAATTTTCTACTTTTATTAAAAAAATTATTAAAATTACGAGGTTCATTTTTTTCACTGCAAAGCCAATTTACGATGCCTTCTTCTAAGCAACTGCAACAAATTGATGTAGTATGCGAAATGTAATCAAATAAAGGAATTTGACCATCTGAAGGTAATATTTCAAGTGGAATTAATGGCGCTTTTTCTTCTTCATTTAATGATAAAAGACATATCCTTATAATTCTTTTATCTCTAAAATCTGGCTTACTCCATAATATTGGAACAATATTTCTACACCATTGACGGTTTACAAGAAGGCAGTAAAATAATGATCTATAATAATTTTGAAGATTATTAAATATTTCAATAAGACATTCATTTGGCAATGCTATCATTTTGAAAAAGGTTCAAAAAACGAATTACTGCGTGTCCCAAAATCGTATGATAGATATATATAAGTTGTAAGGTGATACTGCATAGGAGGTAGACTAATCATAAAAACGATAGATACGTACGTAATCGAATAGCTTATTGTTATACAAATCTTTAAAGCTGGTTCAGGTTAGAATTACTTTTTTGATATAGTTAGTGTATTATTTATATATAGAAATCAAGAATACGATTTATGCACATAGTTACACAGAAATATTAACCAACAATACTGTAATATTGTACGTAATCACCTGCACGCCACAATTACGTAGATTACAGAAAAAAAGTTTGATTAATATGTAGAAAGCTACCCGGACTTTTAAAAAAAGTATTGTAAAACGTATAAAAAAATATGATTATCGGGTTAATATTTTGGACGGCCTTACCTGTAACAGTTTGCAAAAAAAAGTGAGACTCCACGATTTTCATGACAATGATAGTGGGGAATCTCAGTGATTCATATAGCATATCAATCATATATCTGAATACTCTATCAATCATATGTTATTATTTATATTCCGAAAATCGCTTAATTTCCCGGGATTCTACATGACATCATTTTTTTACTGTTACATAAGACTTGGTAAAGTACATATGTATTATAGACATGCATTAAATTATAGTCATTGTATGGAATAATCTAGTTACACATGGGTTCATAGGTTCATAGGTTCATATTTGTGGCCTTTAACCACGGATTTAAATATGAATCTGTGTGTGTAACTGAATAATTCAATATACACATATAATAACTATATTATTGCATGATGTTTGACATAAAAATCCCGTACAATAACCAAATGAAAAAAGCATATACTACATAAGACACGTGCAATAAGTATATTGTTGACCTTTATGATATCAACAACTCGTGTGTAATTACATCATCTAAAAAAAGGAAATTGATTTCTGATTTCTAATTATATATTTAAACTTTGAATTAGAATTGATATTATGTAAATTTTATTTATTATTGCTCAATCATAAACTTTATTGAATATAAAAAAACAGACTACATACAATAGTATTTGAACTACATTATTTTTCTTAGTCATAAAAGGGAATGATTAGTGGTATAAACATAGCATTGAAAGAAAGATAGATAGTACTTGCTAACTTTACTTAGATTATAGGACTCTGTGGTCATTGCACTAAAAGCTTAGTCGTTGAGCCACTTGAGTGATTCATGCAGTCTTTGCATCAACGATCATCGAGCTGTGTAATTAATTTATCGATAGGGAGATCGAAAGAGCCAGTCTAGTACTATAAGACGGACAACAACGAAACCGAAACTAACGCTCCTTACATTCGCTCATAATTTTTAAATACTTACAGGTATTGCCTTAACCTGCTTATACATATAGACTGCACATGGAAGTGCTCATCCTTCACATGCAAGTTCGTGAAAACTTCTCATAGCTTACCCCCCTTTTCATATGCGTTGTACCTAAATTTAATACTTTCTATTTTTATTAAACTCATTAGACGCGCCCCTACCCTACATCACTGGCATCACTGGCCATAAAAGGATACCTTTTTCGGTCTCGCACGTGATATGAGATCGCGATAATTCTAGCCTTGACACTTCGTTGACAAGCAGACAAACATTGTAATAGACTCAAATTTAATAATTGTGTATATAGTAATATATGTGTGATTTGGTCTTATATTTGTGGGATATATTAAATGAAAAGTAATAAATTAATTTAATTATACTCCCGGGTAGTATTCAAGAATTAAGCCAGGTGGGTGGTGAACAGTTTTAAATTACCTTGCACAAGATGCACATGTGAAAGTAGTTTTTATTCTGCAGAGAAGTTCCAAATGTAAACGCACAAGTGTGTAAATAAGAAGCTTGCACAAAGTTGCACAAAAAATAATATGCAATAGAAATTATAAAATTTTATTTCACAAAATAATCCATAGGTTCCAAAGGGAAAATTAGTAAACATAAATATGAGCAAGGTTGAGATTTCTAAAATATTCTGAAAAATATAATAATTTTATAACATTATGCACATATGTCAACCTAATTGTTGTACTTGTCAAAGAGATAATTTATTTTGTACAAATTAATGCAGTTGTATTTTACTTGGTGAATTTAAAAATTGGTAATTTTTATTTTTCATTGCATTAAATTTATGTAACAGAACATTTACGCATAAGATTCGAGCAAAAATTCAAAATAATGATCATGAGAGTTACTCCGCGAAAATAAGATTTGTGCAATAAAATTCTCACCTATTATGAAATAACGTACATTATTTTTAAATTTTTAAATGACATGTGTAATTTTCGAAGCAACATAAATTGAAAAATGATGAAGAACGAAACAACACATGATGAATCGTGATCAATAAAATTTTATCAAAAATATCATACAGCGATAAACAATGGCTGATTTATGGCTTTAACAATGTATGGGTCTGTGGTTTTAATAGTAGGTGGGTTTATTATGATTTAACATTCATGATTTTAACAGTGAATGGGTTCACATTTCAATCATAAAATTTTAAGTTCGTGATTTAAACAATGAATAAGATTGGTGATTTTAATGATGGTTAAAAATTGAAGATTTTAGTAATTCTATATTGGAATGAATTATTTACTATTTCAGCAGTGAGTTGAAAATTTTGACAGGAGTTTGTGATTTTAATGACAGATTTCATTTTTATAATTCGGCTTAAACCATATTATTTAACATATAATATGATTTGTTCCCATATCTTCGCAAAGGTTATATAATAATGAACTTAATCAAAATAAATCTTATTTCACTAGCAAAAATATATATATATTTCTATTTGAAGATTATTTAAATTCAATTTGTTCAGTCTAATGTTATGAAAAAATGTCGAATAAATTAAATAGTATATTTCTTTAATCATAACGTCATTAAAGAGCTAAATTGGAGTAACTACCTTGGTTGTAACCCAAATTTTTATATAATTAGGTGTACAATACCTGTATATAAACTCCTTTAATTTTATTAGATTCAATTGGTTTTGTAAAAATCGATTAATTAACGACTAATCAACTTATGGTATTTCTAAAATATATGACAACTTTAATCATTACTAAAGTATGAGATAATCTTCCTACTTTCTAGTTTCGTATATAATGTGAGAATTTGTTCCGATTTTCATTAATTTAATGGCGGTAAAGTTCTTTGAAAACCTTTCAAACAATTGCCTTCAATTTCTTAATGATGAAGATTTTAATGTAATTATTAAAGTTGGTAAAGCTTCATCCGCTAAAACATTTCAAGCACATTCAACTGTTTTGAGATATCGTTCTTTGTATTTTAAAAATAAATTGCTAAACGCCAGTAAGGATGGAAATAACTTTAAAACAATAAACTTGGATCATATTCCTGTTAATGAATTTGAAATTATTATCAAGTAAGTACTTGTTTTTTTTAAAAAAAAAATCTATAATCAATAATCTTAATTGAATAATCTTAATAAACTTTACGTAAAGGTATATTTATGGGGGAGTAATTTCATTGGAAAATCTTGATGCTTTGTCTATTTTTGAACTTGTGCTTGTTGCCGGAGAGCTTCTTCTTGAAGAATTAACAAATTATCTTGAAACTCATCTCATTGAAACGAAAGCTAATTGGCTTCGTTTAAACCTTTCCATTATTCATCAAAAAAGTTTCCAAAATAATTTACAAATATTACAAAGTTGGTGTAACAATATTGTGGTAAAAGATCCTGACAAAGTTTTTGAGTCCGAAAATTTCATCTCACTTCCAGAGAATGCATTAATCTCTCTACTTGAACGAGATGATCTAAAATTAGAAGAAGGAAGAATTTGGTGTTACATTATCCAATGGGGAATTGCTAAAAATCCTGATTTACCATCTGATCTTAAAGATTGGTCCGATGAAAATTTTTCAACTTTGAAAACAATTTTACAAAATTGCTTACCACTTATTCGTTATTTTCAAATTTCTGGTGATGATATTGTTAACGAAGTAAAACCATTCAAACGAATCCTTGAAAAGAACCTTTGGAATGATGTAAAAATGCGATTTATTTTACCAAATCAACAAATATCGTCAAAGATCCTTCCACCTCGCATTAAAAATTTACCATATAGTGTAAATAAACAATTTTCAACAATTATAAATGATGAACATGCTGCCATAATTGCCTCTTGGGTTGATAAAGTTGTTTCATATTCTGCAACAAATAATCCATATGAATTTAAATTACTCCTTCGTGGAAGTAAAGATGGTTATACTGCTGAATCATTTTGGAATTTATGTGATAAGAAAACAAATATTGTTGTGGTCATAAAGGTTAAGGGCACTGATGAAATTCTAGGTGGATACAATTCAATTGGTTGGGATAAGTCAGTAGTATCCAAATGCTTAAATTGTGATGACAGCTTTATTTTTTCATTAAAAAATGGCTCGATTCAAAATTATATATTAAGTCGTGTAAAGCCAAAAAAAAACTCAATCAGGATTCACGCTAATCGAGGTCCAAGTTTAATGTATGGTTTTACTATGAAAAATAATTTCAATCAAGATGATGGATGCTATTGCCATTATGATATCTACAATGTTGTATATGAAAAACCAATTAGAATGCATAATTCCGGAAATTATTCATATTTTTCGGTGGAAGAATACGAAATATTTCAAATGCATAAAGAACTTAGTACCTAATATCAAATAATTTGTAACTGTTGCTAGTAAATGATATATAAGATCAGAAAAAAATGCATAAATAATGTTGACGCTTGGTATTCGCTTTCCTACCTTAATTTTCATAAGTTTAATGATAAATAACTATGATATTCCAATAAACTGCAAATGATCGCAATGTATATTCATATTTTCAATTGCTTATATTTGTCTTTTTTTATGCAACTTAATGATATATGATTCAAGCGCGATTCGAACGTGGTAAAAAGGTTTCGTAATTTATTCATCTAAATTATTATGTGTTTATAAATCTTTTACAGGGCGAATGAAATATTTTCATGAAATAATCTTACTCTATAATTTCTAGTCACGTAACTTGAAACATCATTAAGACTTGATCCTGCATTCTGACACGATATTATTAAACTCATGTTCGTCATTCAGAATAAGAATAAGTTTCAAACGAAGCAAGGCCGAGAGTTTTAGAAAAAAATTGTTAAGAATGTTAATATGTAAAAAAAAAAAAAAAAAATGCAGAGCTGTGTTTGAAAAAAAAGGTTAAGCGAAATGTGATCAAAAGATATGAAAACCCCTTTAGGGGATACAATACAAATTATATGTAGATGAAGCTAAAACTATATGAAAAACTAAATTGTTGAACCTAAAAATAATAAAATAGTATTTATGAATCTTAATAGTTCTATTCAAAACTAGTCTTGCATGTGGAATCTTATTTCGTCTTTTTTTAATTCTAAACGTTAAGTAAACATTATTGAATTATAAAAATAATAATATGACGGGAAACTCATTAAATGTTTATTTTGTTTCTGAATAATAATTTGAGCTTGAGTTCTAATATTAATGCTCCTATATTGCATTCATAATAATATCAAGATTTTGATTTCTTGACTATAAATATAATATACTATATCGTAATCAATGATTGTTCCAATTTCATATTCGTAAAAAAAAAACTCGGGATACTTATAAATAATGCTTTAGATTAGTGAAAATAACATTGATTACTTAGATACTTTTCTATATGAGTTCGACCAAGGGAAAACCTGTCATCGGACATTCAATTATATTTTGTGTACAGTTAGCTGTCTATGGAAAACTAGATTTTCTACAGACGGTTAACTGCACACGAAATAAATTGAATGTCTGATCTGATGACAGGTTTTCCCTTGGCCGCACTCATATGATAAATTAAATAACATGTAGACTTTATGAGATCCATCCAACATTAAACTGGATTGTAAATAGTTGGTTAAATCTATATATATCATTCAAAGATGGTGTCATTGCGACTAGGCATAAAACTTGTGCTTCTCTGAATCGCATGATTTCTTTAAGAGCTGCAACTAAAGATTTGACTAAATGGTGCGTCGTTAATCAAAATGTGCCTTAGTGAGTTTCTGAAATTGTTACACAAAATGATTGAGCATGACCAAACTTATCCTTATAACCAACTTATATATATATTAGTATACTAAATTATATAATACTTTTAGTTAGCACAATTTAAAAATACTACCAGGTTGGTAATGTAGTTCTTATAATCTATAAATCAAAATTTAAGCTTAGGTTAAACCAAATATTTGTTCTGCTAAAAATTACTCATGACTCAAAAATCAGCATAAAAAACTATATTTTATTTCTGCTAAAAGTTTTTAATTAATTTTACTCTACTCTTAATTTACAACTCTAATAAATTTTAAGAATTTTGTCTAAACCACTTACATGAAACTCATTTTTTAATAGATTTAATTATGCTATTCTATTAATATGCAAATCTAATTAACAATTCAACCAAAAAAGTTTTAATTAAAAATTTTTTAATGTTATAGGTTTTTAGTAATAATT